TTATATGGATTTTTTTTAAAATTTGTTTCAAATTGATTAACCTTGAGATGAAGTCAAGTTTAAAAATGAAGATTTGAAAGGATTTATTGAAATGGTGTAACAGAAAAAAAATAATGATATCTTGAGGATTATTCTTACAGAACATTAATTTTATGTCTCATAATGACGTCAAAATATCTGTGACATATTGCCTTAATAAAGACGTATTCATTTGGTGATTTTAAGGCAAGAGCAGACGTTTTTTCAACGTCATTATAGTGACATGGCATTGATAACTGGATACAAAATAATGTTTTCAACAAATATATTTCTAATGCCCTGAAAATTTACAATAATTATGATGCATATACAAGGCTAGAACTTATAAAAAATCAAATACAAATCAATAAAATTAATTAACCTTGCAAATATATAGTAAACAGATGATGCCAATCGTTATCGTCAATTTATTTTGTATGTCAACTATATTTGTTTAAATAATTGAATTAAACATCAGTAAAGGGTGAAATGTTTACCAATTGCATTGATACTTGAAATAGTGATTCCAGGTGATAGATAGATATTACACATGGGACAAGGTCGTTAGGTATGTAAAATGTTCAACATTATTTATTTATAAAGATTTAAATACAAGAAAACATCAGCTCAACTAAAACACAACTCACTGTCTTATTATCGACTCGCGGCGTTTTACCAATTTTCTCGATTATCAATTAATTAATGAACTGTTATTTGGTTTATTACTGAACCTCCATTTTATAGCGCGTCGTTGTTTCTGGAATTGTCTAGATACTTCGAGGAAAAGATTTATAAAAGTCTAATGAACATTGCGAATGAGGTAGCAATACTAGAGATTTCGTGTTTTCTTTTTTTGATTCAACTCTGAGCTAAAAAAGTTAATTGCACATAAAAATCGACTATAGAAGTAAGAAGATCAAGACGAAAAACGAACTATGAAGTTCACTCTGAAGCCCGGAAAGAGGTGAAGTACCATAGTGACATATGTGTTAGTTACTCTGACCACAAAGATGTTGAGATCAAAAAAGACTACTTAGTCCCTTTTGGAACATACCTCTCAGATCATGTATTCACAGTCGAAGAAATTTGGAGAAAAATTCTAGATCTCGATGACTCAAAGAGTCCTGGACCAAAGGGTCTTTCCAAATTTTTTTATTCACATCTCTAATAGAACCGATACTGGCATTTTTTCTAGAAACTAGAAAATCTCTGATGTCAATAAAATACACATATCTATACTATCGCACATTCCTACAGACAAATGACGATGTGTTTCCATGCTGTAGTAACTACATCGGTAACGACCAACATGGTTTCTGAAAGGGAAAATCCACTGCTACAAATCTTGCAATCTACCAACAATTTCTAACGAAAGCTGTCTTTTGCTGGACTAAGTGCTTTGGGTGGTCTCACTGGAGGTGTATCTGCAATAGCAAAAACCGCTTTAAACCGCCATATCTCAGTAACCAAAAGCGTTATTTATTTTTCTATTGGCGGGTCAAGCCGATTAAAAATTAACAAAGTGTACAAGTGAAACAACAGTCAACAAGTAAATAATGAAAGCAAAATGCCAATCAAAATAGATAAAGCAGAAACAAAGAATGCAATAACAAACCCTGATACTAATAATAATAATCTTTATTGAGCAAATATGCTAAATACGAAAACGAATTGATAAAATATTATATCCTAGGTAGTTACAATAATAATATTAATAATAATAATAAGTTAAAAAGGATTCAATAAAAAACATTCGAATAATAAATACACATAATTGTAAAATAAATAAATAAATAAGTATAAAAAATAAAATAAAACGACAATATAAACGATATAAAACAAATCTCACAATAGATGATCTCTCACTAATTTCTTGAACATTTTCAGGTTATCACAGTCTTTCATATTGTTGGGTAACATATTGAAATCATGTAAACCTCTATATAGAATCGAGTTGAGCATTTGGGTGGTACAACACTTATCTGACAATACAAAATCATTGCAATTTCTGGTGTTATAACTATGTACATCTTTAAAAAACTTCACCCTATCACAGATATAAGACGGTAACATTTTGTTCTTAATTTTAAACAGAAAAACATGGACGCTGTACGTAACGTTTTGCTTGACAGAAAAGAAATTTAAAATGTTAAGCATTGTTGCAATTGGAGTATATCTATTGCATCTTAGAATGGTTCTCATTGTTCTATTTTGAATAATCTGTAATTGTTCTATCTTAAAATTAGGCAAATTGAACAAGAGAGTGGAAACAAATTCAAGGTGTGGAGTTGCTATACTTTTATAGATTAGCAATTTATTGCCTATCCTCCCAATAAAGTTTACTTTTTTGGAAAACTTCCTCGTTATGTACTCCGCATGTGCATAAAAATTCAAAAATGAATCGAATATCTATATATATATATTTAGTTAAATCAAACTAAATACATAATCACAGAATAAAATAACAATATTTATAACTTGAGGCCAGTGACAATTCTCGCAAATGGTTCATAGAGCCCAAAAAAATCAATGTCTCCCAGCTCATTTCACAGTCTGAGGGTACGAGAAATGAAAGAGTGATATGCATAGTTGGTTCTGTGAGATGTGGGGTGGATGGTTACGTGATGGGACATGTAGGGCTATTTTAGAAGTCAAGTAGGGGCAATCAATTGTAGAATTTAGGATTTTATGTATCAGTTTGAGGTCTTTCTGCTTCCTTCTTGAGCAAAGAGTTGATAAGGTGAGTGCGTCACAAAGTGGTGCATAATGAAATTCCTCATCGTTAAAAAATTTGTAATTAAGATATCTGCAAAATTTACGCAGCATACTCAAGATATGTACGAACAAATGAGTAGTATAACGTTTTGATGGAGTTGATATTCGCAAATTCCCTTGCATCCGAAGTGCTTTGTTAACTATGGCATCGATGTGTGAAGAGAAATCAAGATTGGAGCTCAGCAAAACACCCAGATCTCTGATCTGATTCACGCAGTCCATTGATGTGATATATGCAGTCATTTAAGATTCTAGACCTGTGGAATTTCATAACTTTACACTTCGTAACATTAAGATCTATGCCATTAGTTTAACACCACTGAATTAACCTGTCAAGATCCTCTTGCAGTGCATGGCAGTCATCAGGAGTAACGATTTTCGAAAATAATTTCAAGTAATCGGCAAAAAGAAGAATTGAAGAGTGTAGGAAATAAGAATATATGTCATTGATGACCAGGTTGAAGAGCAGTGGGCCTGAATGCGAGCCTTGAGGAATACCTGATGACACCAAGATTTGGGAAGTGGTGTAGTATAACATACCCGGGTTCGTTCAGTAAGATTGAACGATGAGAATTTTTATTACCTTTTAGCAGAAAATCTTCTGAAAAATGAAATGAAAAACAAATAGGACCTACGTTGTGGAAACTTACTCAATTTTACTTACTGGACATGCGCCCGACATAGCAAATATTTGGGAAATTTAAGGGAAGTTGTAATATGTAAAAGAAACGAAAAATTTGTGAAACGTCTACTTTATTATTGAAGTAAATCGTACCGTTCTCATCCTGGAATTAACGAGAGGAAGGAGCACGGCAGAGAAGCCCTCGATCTAACATTCCTCAAAAATCGAAACATATTGTGTAATTTTAATAATAATTGTGAGTCATTAATCCAATAATTTAAGTCAATAAAAGTTTAAATTAGGTAACGCCCCTGTTCTTGTGCTTAAATTTCAATTACACACACTACATTCAATCAACACTACCTGTATTTAATACTGAAGGGTTTTTGGTTAGTTAGCCTATTTGTGGCAGGTACTGAGGTCCCTGGTTACGGTAACTCACAGCTATAGTTGTTTTTGAGCCAATATCTCTAGATTGATTATTTCAATTTGTTAGGATATTCTCTCGTCAGGGTAGGAAAATGTTAGTAAATGCAACAAGGCCCTAATGCACGCTCTGAATACACAAAATCAAAATTTCAGCACAAAAAGACAGCACAAATTTACTTCTTTTTCGGTGTTGTTTACAGCATGAAACGATTTTTGTTAAATACATGAACAATGCACATGTTATAAAGAAATAAAAAAACATGGGAAAAATAATATTTGTATAAATTGAACTCTCACAAACAAAATAATAATTAATCAACTAACCTGTGAACGCCTATTTATTAACCAATCAATTTTAATGCAAAATAAAAATGAAAATTGAATAATTACAGATATGCGACACGTTTTCTAAGGGACCAGTCCAGCTCGTTCTGTAGTCTAGTTGCATATTCTCTTGTATCCTCTTCGGTTTCGGTATCTTCGTTTTCTGTGGCGCGCTCGTTCAATCCTAAACTTGAGGGCGCATACATGGTTGCAACATTTACTTTTATTCAATAACCGTTTTAAGTTAAGATTTTAAGAAATTAATAATATTTCAAATAGGTGGTTTTCCTCAGAGGTAAAGTTGATTGACTCTGTCAAACGCCTTGGAGAAGTCGGTGTATATAGTATGTACCTCCTCACCCCTCTCCAAAGCGCCTGTCCGAAAGTCAGACTATGTGTTACTTTTCAGATCTTCCAACGCTGTTCTTTCAAGTTCTCTCTGTCTAAGTGTCAAGTCACACTTTATGTAGATTTGTTTGCTCTTGTGTTTATGTCGATTGCAAAGTGCAGTCTGAATTTCATAATATGGTGATCCCAATACAGCTCGCATAGGGCATGCATTATTTGAGTTGGGCATGCGACAAAGCGTAAATTGAGTGCCAACTAGTAACTGCAGTATAGAGCGAACCTCTGAAAAATCATCTTCTGACGCAGATAAGCTGAAGAATAGTAAATTATTAGCTTTACTCTGACGGTCATGAAGTTCAGTTAGCAAATCAATAGATGGAGTGGAAGGTGGTGGTGAAGTCGTTGATGATCGTTATTAGGAAAAAATTATCAGAAGTTGTAGCTCTCAACACTTAACCATAAATAAATAAATTTCTTGTTCCAGATAATTTAGTACCATGTTTGTGGAAACTAAGAAACTTGTGCCACCAGACGGAGGATGGGGGTGGATTGTGGTCATCGGAGTCAGTCTGGTCAATGTAAGTAACTATCAATAATGATTCAGGAACCTTCCCATAAGATTATTATGAATTGATTGAAATTCTCTTCAGCTTTGTACAAGGTCAATAGAACAATCGTTCGGTCTGCTGTTCGGCGATCTACTAAAAGACCTTAACGTCGAAACAACCGGAGCGGCAGTCATCATGTCCACTCTGGACGCCCTCATCAATTTTTCCGGACTGTTCGTGGGCCCTTTGATCAGAGCCTTCTCTTACCGCAAAGTGTGCGTGGTCGGCTCTCTATTGGTCGCCCTAGGACTGATTTCGACCAGCTGGGCCAATAGCATGGCGCACATTTTGGTCACCTACAGCATAATCAACGGTAGTTTCAGTTGAAATTTTTGATTTTTGAAAATTGACGATTTATTTTTAGGTTTGGGTGTTGGTCTGACTGCTTCGGCCACTTTTGTGGCTTTGAATAATTATTTTATGAAAAAACGCGGTCACGCTATTGGATACTCGTTGGCCGGAACTGCTTTTGGTATGATGCTGATGCCGCAGGCTGTGAGACTACTTTTAGATGCTTTTGGATTCAGAGGTACTTAAGAATTACATTATAATCTACAATACAAAAAAATATTTTTTTAGGTGCCATACTTGTCCTAGGAGGTTTTGCCTTAAACTCTTTAGTGGGTTCAATTTCGTTGCAACCTGCCAAATGGCATTTTGTGCCAGAACAGAAAAACATCGAGGAAGGAGAATACAAGCAGGTAATTGAACTGAAATTCACCCTTTTGTGTCAATAATGTATTAAGTGTGTGTTTTTTCTTGTTGCCTGATGCCCCTCTCACAGAGAATACATTTCTTCTTTGCGTCGAGCGAGGTAATTTAGTGCTTACTTGTTTGCATGCTGTAGCAACCCAATTTTTCTTCAAATAACATGTATTTTGTTTAGGAAATGGAAACGATCAAAGAAGACGGCGAAGACGACGAAGAAAGTCAACATCAAGAGGAGATCAACAAACTGATTTCCAACAATATGATGACGAAAACGTTCGAGGAACTCAAACCTGGCGGATTGCCAAGGAAAGCATCTTTTCCGAGGAACTTTTCCACGATGAGCTTTTTAGGAAACCGTCATTTCTCTGGAACGCGCAGGCGCACGTCCAAAGATTCCATCATGAGCAGCTTTTCCAGGTTGGACTTTACTGGATCCAGCATACAATTGGCAATTGATGTAAGTGATTTAACAAATATTTGCATTTTTGACATTGTTGATTCTATTTTAGACACCAGCACCAGATACTCTAGTTTCCTCTGCTGATCAAGGAGGCAAATTACGACGCAACATGAGCTACCCAGGCGTCCAATTCTCCCCTCAACAAAAAGTAATCAAAGAACTCCACCAAGAACATCTCAAAGTCAAGGAGCAACAGAAAACCTGCTGGCAAAAGATCGTCGAGTTTATGGATTTCGATTTGCTCAAAGATCCGATTTACTTGAATCTGGTGTTCGGTTTGTCGGTGTTTTACGTGGCCGAGCAAAATTTCAAAATGGTGCTGCCTTTCTTTTTCCAAAACATCGGCTACACCAAAACGGACGTCGCTTGGTTTTTGTCCGTCCAAGCGTTCACGGACGTTTCGGCGCGGCTGAGTCTGGCTCCTATTTGTGATAAACTCGACGTGACCAAACGGACTTTGTTCATGACTGGGATTTTCTTTTTGGGGATTTGTCGATCTGGTAAATTATATGTTTTTAACAATAATATTAACACATCTTTATCATCCATGCATTATGTTTTTTTTGTTGAAATTTGATTAATATAAAAGAATTTTTGTCTGTGATGGCAGCTGGGACCATTCCCCTTCTCCCACAGCATTTGAAATGTAAGCGCTTTCTATTTTTTATTACAAAGCCTCAAGTTTGTTTATTCCGAAGTTAGGTATAAGTATTTTTCAATTTTTTGCAATATATAGTCTATTTTTTTAATGGTTGATAGCACAATAAGAATTTCGTTGAATGCTTAATTGCGTTTGCAGGACTAAGTGCTTTGGGTGCTCTCTCTGGAGGTGCATCAGCAATAGCAAAAACTGCTTTAAACCGCCATATCTTGGTTACCAATAAGCGGTAGGTACCGGGACCAAGGCCGGATTCAGGCCTTTTACAAGGGGGGCGGGGGTAGTTTAAGTTAAAGTAAGCCAGAATAGGTTACTTTGGGCAGCGCATTGTGCAAGATACGGTTTTTCGAAAGAATAGTCCATAAGAATATGGGAATGGGGGAACTATTTAGGGAAATAAAGTAGTCATCTATTCATTAATATGTTGTTCAAGTACGATACTAACCTGACTCACTCAAATGTCAGTTATTCTCATTAGTACATAAATTACAAGTTTCAGGTGAGTGTCTTATTTGAATAGTTCAACAGTATATTGGTGAGTAGATGGCTGCGGAACTTGCTGCGCTCGTCCGACAGAGGTCTTCCCATAAGTTCCGCAATAATTCATTTATTTGTACTTGAAGAATAACTTATTATATAAGATCAAAATTTGTAAAATTATAAATATTCACTTTTTGTCAGGTTGCCTTTCAACAGAAATTAGTAATGTTACTTTACCAAACTAGTACTGGTACCGACTACATGGGGGCATCAGGGCAGGTGCACCCATAAGCAACCTCCCATGCTCTCGTGAGGAATGCGGAAGTACAAACGTATTTAATGGTCATTCCGTTCCATGTGGTAGTATCAGTATAATGTAATTTAAATTAACACAATTTTGTGTAAGAATTATACAAGTGGTATTGGTATTCTGCCCTTTCATTATTTGTGGTTAATTCGATGCTCTATTACTTAATGTTGCTATTCTCCATCTCTATTCTTTGATAATATTCGGCATACAACGAAAAGTCTGGCGCTTGTGCCGTAAGTCATATAATTCAGTTTTGCGCGTGGGTAGAGATGGCAATGATATATGTATGTATAGATGTTTTATTAATAGATGATTTCGGCAAGCTTTGGTACCCTGTTTGGTCTGTAGAATGAATACCGACCAATTTCGGATGCGAGAATGATAACGTCACCGTGACTTTGGTATCCTTTTTGGTTTGTCAAATAGGATACCGTGGTCAGCAGCACGGTTCTTCTCATTTGGTATAGTACTATCTACGTCTCTTTTGGTTTTGTTCTGCTCTGGAAATGTAAGTAAATGGAAGTTCGTTGAAATTTGACATTTTTAACAAATATGTTTGTTTTTTCGCCTTCATCTTCCTATTTTCTCGTATGTTATGACTGCCAAATAATTTTTAACGATCATTTAAAAAATGGCTTTGAACGACAGATATGGGGTAACTTTTTTGCTGAATGGAATAAGCTTTACATTTACAAAAGATTTTGAGTTATTAGCTACCTAACTCAAAGGTACTGTCTAGACTAGACAGTGCTGATAGATTTTAGTTTTAGAACAGCAAAAAGTAAGGTTAAGGCTCTTCCTCCTCTCTCTTGACCTACCAAACCTTATTACCAAACGAATTCGGAACAAAATGGTGCCTTACGTCATTACTATAACGTTGCATGTACCAATTGGTTAACCAAATGGTATACCAACCAAAACTTGCCGAAATCGCCTAATATCAAAATATTATTCAAATATATCGATATTATTTTAATCGATAAAGTACTTTTCCGCACGCATTTTAGGACATTAAAGTACCAGGGTGACTTAACATTGCATAATTATTTTACTTTTCTGCACTAGTGATGAATAGTATATTATTCAACGAGCGGGTGATGATGGCTATTACGAAGGATGAAGTTTCCACTACGAGCCGCAGGCGAGTAGTGTAATCATCTGAGTGAGTAATAGCCATTACCCACGAGTAGACTATACTTTTCCTATGATTATTAGATAGTAGGCGGTTTTTAATTAATTTTAGTAACAAAATTATTTGACAATTCTGACAGCTGGAGGACAAAGTGAGGTTAGGTTAGCACAATTCTTGTCTAAATTAGGCAATCCAACGACCTGTCCAAATGGCGCCTGGTTGGCAAACAATGAACAAAAAACATATGTTTTTCTTTTGGCAGGATTAAGCCTAGTACTCATAACAGCGAAATTCGCTCTTTTTTGAGATTGCTTCGACAATTTGACGTTTTATGCATGAATCAAACGTCAAATTATCCAAGCAATGTCAAAAAAGGGTGAATTTCGCGGTTATGACTACTAGGCTTTATCAATCTGACACTTTTCTGACATCGTTGACATGTAACAACCCGTATTCTAACCTCATAAAAATTTCAAAATGCCGGCTGGTTGGCAAAAGTCACGTGGTTTGGATTCCCTAATAAGTTGTCAAAATGACCTATTGGAAGGTTGAAGTATGTTGTCAACTTGTCGAATTATTCAATACTCATAGAAAAAAGTAATATTTTCATGCCCTAAAATGCGTGCAGAAAAAAGCACTTTTCGCACGCTTGTGGAAAAAACATTCCTCCTCCGGCGGCGCAGTTTTTCCCTCCTCCTATTGACAAATTTATAGAGTTATTATCCTGCACCCATGAGGAATTTCAAAAGTCGGCGCCTCTGCAAACTAGTAACATAATGTGACAAGTTATTCAAGTACAAATGAGTAAATTGTTGCGGAACTTATAGGTGAATTTCTGCGGGACGAGCGCAGCGAGTTCCGCAGCCATCTATTTATCAATATGTTGTTTAATTACGAGACTAAACTGACACACTCAAATGTGCGTTATTCTCATTAGTTTAAAAATTACACGTTTCAGCTGAATGTCTTACTTGAACAGTTCAATAGTATATTGTTGATTAGATGGCTGCCCATAAGTTCCGCAACAATCCACTCATTTGTACTTGAACAATAACTTATTATATAAAGTCAGAATTTGTAAGATTATCCACTTTTTGTCAATTTGCCTTTTAACAAGAATTAGTAATGTTACTTTACCAAACTAGTTATTGTAATAAGTTATTCAAGTACAAATGAGTGGATTGTTGCGGAAATTATGGGTGGATTCAGCCATCTATTCACTAATATGTTGTTCAAGTACAATACTAACCTGATTCACTCAGTTGTGAATTTTTCTCATTAGTTCAAAAACTACACGTTTCAGGTGAGTGTCTTATTTGAACAGTTCAACAGTATATTGATGAGTAGATGGCTGCGGAACGAGTGCAGGTCCACCCATAAGTTCCGCAATAATCCACTTATTTGTACAGGGTGTTTTTTTTATATATTAACACCCTACCTACAGCCTTAACCTTCACATGTAGAAGAAAGGTGTAAATACAAAAGTTGTACAGTTTTTGGTGAATTTTTAGAAACAAAACAAAATTTGAATTTCAGAAATGTGAAATTTTGCATGCTTCCAGCTTTTTTCAAATAGGCCTCAAAAATTGTAAAAATACTATCCTATACTACTGATTTTGTGAACCATTCTACCTATACAGGTGAAAGCTGCAGGTAAAATTTGAGGTACCTACTTGGTTTCTTTGATAGTATTTTTAAAATTTTTAGAACCAAATATGTTGGAGACGGCTCAACCAAATATAGACAAACTATATAGTTTTGGAATCGGGAAATTATGCTCTTCAAGAATGTAGAACCAAATATAGCACAACTCATTTGAAAAAAACTGAAAGCATGCAATATTTCACATCTTTGACAATCAATTTTTGTGTTTGACCATGGATTTTAAAAATTTAGCCAATACTGTACGACTTTTGTATTTACACCTTTCATCTACCTGTAAAGGTGAAGGCTGTAGGTGTGGTGTCAATATATAAAAAAACACCCCGTATAAATAGGTGGATTATTGCGGAACTTATGAGTGTGATTTTTTTATAGGTTTCCAGGTTTCTAAACATTCTTAAAACTTAAAATATGGTTTTGTTTTCTTTTTTTTTTTTAAATTGTATTATTTTATTTTAAAAAAGGGAGGCAGTTGCCCCCCCTGCCCCACCACTGTATCCGCCACTGACCGGGACAAAATTTCCAGGAATTATAGGTCTCAATTACCTGAAGCTTCAAAACGGTATTTACTTGATCTTACTGAAACGGTAGCTTTACGATTTTTGAGAGAATGTAGTTTGAAGTTTTTAACAAATTGTTGACTAAACTTCAATTTTGATGTTCGATATCTCGAGAACTCCAAAAATTACAAAAACCAATTTTGCACGGTTCATAGAGAAGTTAATACTCTTTCTAATGATGTATAATTGTAGGGAATCTTCTGAAATTTCATCAAAGATAAACTCTGTCTAACCAAAGTTGAACGTTGAAGGTCACTTACTCGAATATATCACAGACGTTTTTTTTTTGCTGCTGTCTTTATTGCACGCGCACTGTGTTTATCAAACCAAAATAGGTCCGAACGTGTAAATCCTATGGTTACAAGTATGAGTAAGCGACTTTCAATGTTTAACTTTGGTTAGACAGAGGTTATGAGCAATTATTCATCATGGTCTTGTCAAGATTTCAAAAACTGTTTCCGACTAATTTGGACTCGCTCTATTGATTCAACAAGGGCAATATCCAAAAATAAAAAATTCTTAGCTGTCAACCATTTAAAAGCCGACTATAATGAAATTTTAATTTTCCTCAACTACTAATAAATGTGCACCTTTTTTATCATTCTTGCCTGTTAACAATTAACCAGAAAATCACCTCAAACCTTGTAAGTTTGCTACAGACAAATCAAAAATGTAAAGTCTATCGATTCTAATCCGATATTCCGAAAAAATGTGAGCTGGTTTTGCCATATACTTCACCCTCTCGCTCCTCATACGGAAAAGTGTCAGATTAAAATCGACAGGCAATAGTCTATTCTTATTAAACCCTGTAATAATTTTCATGTTTATAATAATTACAGTTTTGGCTCAACAAACCGAATACCTAGGGATAATGATATGGATGGCGATAGCAGGTTTTTTCCGAGGAGCTGCCCTAATCAACTTCGCCATCACTATATCCGAATACGCCACTTTGGAAAAGCTTCCGGCCGCTTTTGGGTTGCACAACGTCGGAAAAGGTTTATTCGTCGTAACTTTAGGTCCAGTTCTAGGCAAAATCCGCGACAGTTCTCAATCGTATCCGGTTTGTTTGCACTCGCAATCTTGTCTGATAATGACGTGCGTGCTGGCTTGGGGTATCGAGTATTTGTATCGGCATTGTCGTACTAGAACGGCCGAATCGGAAAAATCCGATACCGATACTACAAATACATGACAAACGGATGTCGACTAAAATTTGTCAGTCGATACTGTATCCATTCGATCGGTTTAGGATCAATTGGATAGGAGTATCGACTGAGAATTAGTTTAGTCGAGCAAAAAAAATCATTATTTTTTTTTCAATAATTGTGACAATAGATTAATATATAATAGCCAAAACAAAATAGTTATTTTTTGCCAAAAAAAATTGGATTGAGTTTTCCAAGTACAGGTGTAAACGTAGTCAATAATAATTGAACATTTTTCATTTTGTAACATATCAGTCAAGTTTTAATAGGAAAAAATGTTGTTTGGATTCATAAACTGTATAAGTTACCATTTGGCTACGTTTAATTTTTGTTTTTCTAATCTAAAAGAAAGTTTATCGTTACTGCTCATATACTGGGCGTTTGATTATACATAATCAAACGCCCTGTATAATTTGTGTATTGAAGAGAATGGGGTAAAAAAAAGAGTCGTGATAAAGCTGTTCAAATAATTAAGACTGATTCCGAGAAACAGTATTTCTCTATAAATAAAATTTAAATAAAAAAAGGAAATTTTTAAAAAAGACGTAAAAAGGCCATATTCTTCTATTTCCGGGTTTGTTTCATATTTTTTGTTTTTGTTGTACAGTATTGTGTAATATGACTCTATGCATGTCAAACGGGAGCTGGAAATTCGAATTTTGTACATAAAAATAATATTTTATTTTTGGAATTTCTAGTTTCCGTTTATTATTCATTAGTGTATATGTCAAATAAATGTAATAATAAAAAAAGTGTTTTTATTTCGGTTTTGTTGTTCATTATTGATTACTTCCTTTTGTCTAATAATTTATTATAGTTATTCAATTAAGGCCGGTTTATACATTCTGTCCAAGTAGGCAATCTGACGGATAAAAACGCAATCTGTAATCTTATTGGTGGGTCAGTTATCCGCCGACCAATAGAATTATAGAATGGTAAATTTATTTTACAGCAAGTTTATCTGAAGATGAATAAACCGGGCCTTGATTTAATAAGTAGTGGAACCGGGTATAGAACGGGGTACCAGGGTAGAATGGGGTACCACGTTTCAAATTTTCGCGGGTTAGTGCAACGCTGCCATATCGATATACAGGGTGGGGACTTTAACTAGAACTAATTCGCTAGAGCCTTCGGTTAAAATATGTGAACAAAACGCGAAAACACGTCGATTAAGATTTTTTGCCTAAGATTTTTTCACCTAATTTTCTTTATACAGGGTGTTCCAAGAACAGCTGTACGGTTATGAACTTTATTTTTTTGAATAGTAACTCCTGTTTATTATGACATTCTTGGATTCTGCGGAAAATTCTAGACATATTTTATGTACAATGTCCTATACTTATCTTCAACTGTTTCGGAAATATTGACAGTTGAAAAGTGACTGTTTTGCATCTTTGACAGACTGTAAAACCTAAACGGTTGATTTTACAGCAAAACCGATCATACATTTTCGTCTTACTTTTTCGTAAACTATCATTCGACACCAACTTTGAATTTAATCCATGATTAAAAATTCCGTCAGCCGGTCAAAGTTGCAAAAAAGTCAATTTTCAACTGTCAATATTTCCCAAACAGTTGAAGATAGGTATATAACATTATACATGAAATATGTCTAGAATTTGCCGCAGAATTCAGAAATGTTATAATATACAGAGGCTAGGTACCATTCAAAAAAATGAAGTTGATAACCGTACAGCTGTTCTTGGAACACCCTGTATAACAAAATTAAAGTGAAAAAATCTTGAGCAAAAAATATTACTTGACGTGTTTTTGCGTTTTGTTCACACATTTTATCCGAAGGCTCTAGCGAATTAGTTCCAGTTCAAGTCCCCACCCTGTATATCCACAGCACTATACCTTAGGAATACGTTGACAACAAATTTGACCTTGTTGGTAGTCCTTCGAGAGCTGTTGCGCCAAATGCATCACTATAAAAAGATCCACTGTAAGAATTGACGAATTTGCGAACAACGGTGAATGTTTAATTTTACTAGCCGGTCATTTTGTGTAGTATGGGTAGAAAGCCCTTCTCTTAGGGTACCTTTCCCCCATAAAATTAAATTATTAGTTTAAACCCTTCAATTGTTTATGTAGTCACAATGGCGACGAATGCTCTTGGGGCAGAATGGGGAGAGGCAGAACGGGGTAAACCATGTCTTGCCACACGTAACTGCTAAACTTCATTGTAGATGTTTTTTAATGATGTAAACTGTTTTAAATACATTGTAGATGGTAGCTATAGAACTTACTTCGTATCAAACAACATTTAACCATTATCACCCTGAATAAATATTTTTTTCTAGATGGTTCGAATATACGTAAGAAAAACGGAACAAAAATGGTGTTAGGAGTAAATACATCAGTTAGAAGATAGAGTTAGAGATCAATAAAGACTATTGACTAAGCTTTAAACGACTATTCTATCCTGCCTCACATGTACCCCATAGGTGGGGCACAACGGGGAACTGTGCAGATTTTGTCATAAAAATAAATAGCAAAATACAGAAAAGGAAATAATGAAATATTTTTGTAATAAACATTAGAAATAACATCAAATAAAGTTTCCAAGAAAAAGTTTGAGGATCTGTCGGTAAATTTTCTCAAAAAAAATTTTCAAACACTAAATATCCCGTTCTACCCCGGGCTCCCCTACCTATCCGACAAAACGATATATCAAGACAATTTGGAATTATGTAAAATTGGGTGTCCAGCATAATTTGAATCACATGAGGATTTTGGAAACCATTGAAGATATTAGGTGAACCAAATAGGGAAAAACTTGCACAATCAAGTGCATACAAATCTTTCATCAACTTCTTTGAACTCGGAATAGCAACGAATATACAGGGAAAAAAAGGGGTATGTATTTTGTAATTCGCTTTACCCTACGTTTTTCAAGTTATTTCAGACACCCTGTATAGGTAGGTACAAATAATAGCTTCCATCTCGTAGAAAAATAGGGTTCCTAACTAGTGCGGAAAGTCTCTTTTCCTCTCTTGATTGTTTGGCCAACTGCAATCGCGTGCGGAAAAGTGGCACTTTCCCCATTAGTTAAGAAATAGGGATGGCGAATCGACGATTTATACGGTGGTGACATCTAGTGACGGAAAAAAGAATAAGGAAATACCTTCGCCATTGTGTCGTTGCTCAAATACGAAAATTATTATTTCTTTTAGTACGCACGGTACTGAGTACTAATAGGCATTCGTAATATTATATAGGGTGTCCTTAGATAAACTGACACATTTTGCAGGTAAATATTTCGAAAACGGGAAAAGATAAGGAGATGCGGTTTGTTCTGGGAGAATAAGGACTTTTTAAAGTTTTTTTCACATTATTGCCGAATCCTGAAATTTGCTAAAATTTGGTTTTACAAACATGCGATTTTTTGAAATAAAATGACTGCCTTATTTTTAATGAAACACCCTGTATATTTTGTCATCGTCAGAAATCCTGATTTTTTTATTTACAAAAATGTATAATTTTTTTCAATTATCTTGAATTTGCATCGTGAAAATTGCACTTTGTCGAAGAGAGAAACCATCGACTAACCAAAAAAAATTGAGAATTAATTTGTGTTTAATATTTTTATTAACTAACTAGCTAATGACCCGCTGCGTTGCCAGCGTGAAAATATATTTTGAAATAATACACTTTTTTTCAAATTTTGTTGTTGATTTTCTATTTTTTTTTATTTTTTTATCCGATACCAGAGTCGCTTGCCAGTGAGTTCAGTGACGCATTTTAAGCACTCCAGAGCTGTTCTAGAGCGCCCCGGGTTGTTTATAGGCGTTTCAGTGTATCAGAGTTTCGCGCAACCGAACTTTTTTTTTCGGGATAAAAAATAGCTTATAGCACTCCCCTCTTTAGCCGAATTCGATTAACCGGATTAGATCGATCTGGTTCAATTTAAGTGAACCACACTGTGTTCGATTGAGGCTGGATCAGTGCACTCTCATCAACAAAAAATGATCTAGATCAGAAGCAGTTCACTTAAATTGAACCCAAATCGATCGAATCTGGGTCAATCGAATTCAGCTTATATAGAGATACGTGCTATTAAATTCAAGATCGGTCCAGCCGTTCTCGAATTCAAAAAATAATAAAGCTACGTCGGTTGAATGGCAAGCCTTTCATACTGTCAAAAAAAAAGTTGGGCTATGTTGTTATGTAATGTGAATGAGTTTTTTTACAATTAAATTAATAATTAATTCAAAATTTATTTATTTTTCCGAGATGCGTAACCTATCCACAAACCTTCCTTAGGATGGCCATAACAATCTACCAAAGTTTCATCGTATTCGGATAAGTGGTGTAGGAGCGCATACCCGGATACCCCTGGAACTTTGATTTTTATATATATAGATTAGCGCATAGTTAAATAATAATACATTAAACACAAATAAGTGCATATAAAACACAAATTACCTAATTTTTATAATTTTTTTTTTGCCAGTCGATGGTACACTCAATGCAATTTTTACGATTCAATTTCATGATAATTGAAAAAAAATTATACATTTTTGTGAAGTAGAAAAGTCACGCTTTCTGACGATGACAAAATATACCGGGTGTTTCATCAAAAATAAGGCAGTATGTAATTATTTCAAAAAATCGAATATCTGTAAAACCAAATTTCAGGATTTATCAATAGCATGAAAAAAAAACTTTAAAAAATCCTTATTCTTCCAAAACAAGACCGCATAACGTCATTCGAGAAGTTAACTTTTAGTTATTCTGTTCAAATAGTTTTATAATACCCGACCTAAACTGCATTAGTTTGTTCGCAAAAATACATAATTAATAAATACCCGCAAGTAAGGAATTTTATATTACAAAAGCCTTTGCTGCCCTTTTTCTGCACTAAAAATGTGCTTTCACTTTACACCCTGTAAACTAATGTGCCTATTCTGTAAAACGCCTTACATCAATGTAAATTTTAAAGCGCGTAAGTTTATATCGCGATGTATAATTGAAACTTACATTGAACGCCAAAACTCATATTCCGTAACACCTAGTGTAAAGTACATAGTTACAGCGCCCTATTTATAGAGTTCCTAACATCATAGTATTAAACGTAACCTAATATTTTTATAATTTGACAACGAGTTTGACAATTTTTGAAGTTGGAAATATTTTGTAATAAAGGTGTCATATCTTCACCGTCCTCCTGGGTATAAATCAACTACCTACACAATCAAATGCGGAAATAAACCTATTGACCCATCGAGGTAGGATTGACCCGATCACAGGCTGTTTGTTTTGCACCTTTCTTCAATAAACATGATTAAGACACAAATTACATCAGCTTGGTGATCGGGGTAATTCATTGTAATCGGATCAATGTTTCTGTAAAGGCCTTGACTGTGTCAAGACTGTGGAAGAGTGTGCGACTCCAGAATTGGTTTATATAGCCATCAGAAAACGCCCAATCGACGATCAGAATAGAAGATAAACATACCCAGTATCGAGTGATTGCCTATTGTGATGATGAAAGGCCTAATCTGTATTAATACCATAATAAACTAATATATCACTCAAAACGTTTCTTTATGCAAAAAAACAAACTTTTTTGTTTCATACCGTCAAAAATGTAGCAGTATGTCTCCATTTCCGACGACGTAAATTTACAGTAGGTGTAAGAATATTTTACAGCGATATGTAAGTTACAGAATTCCTTTTTAGTTACATCCTTACAGTTCTCAAAGTTGCATCCCTTACATTACGTTACATCGCATACAGAATCGCACCAATATAGTTAGACACTAA